AGCAGCCCGGGACCCCTCTCTCCGGCTCGTGGCTCCCGCCGCGAGCGCCGAACCCCGAGCACTCCCAGGCGCGCGCGCTCCTTCTGCAAAAAGTTGAGGGCTCTCTCCCAACTAGTTATCAGGGTGTCATATGGGTGACATCACTCCCCGGACCAGCCAATGGCTGGGGGCCGGCTCCGCCCATCTGCCTTTATTAACTCCGCGGCCCCTCCCCCTCCCCCGCCCTCGGGGCTGCTTTGCAAAGATGGGGGGTGGGGGAGGAGGAGGCCTGTCTGGAAATATGTTATTTTTAAAAAATCCGCGTGTGTGCACAGATGCGCCTCTCCCCAGGATGCTCCGGAGCCGCGCACGGCCCCGCGGCGGGTCGGCGCTCCCGGGGTGAACCGGGCTAGTCTCGGCGTCGGAGCGAACCGAGGACCAGGTCCCCGGAGAGGCCCGGCGCCCTTTTGTGCCGGGTCCGGGGGAGGCCGGTCGGAGTGAGCAGACGAGGCGCGCGCTCGCTCGCCGCGGGCGCACGCTCGGGCACGCGCACAGCCCGAGACGGCGGGTGCGGCCCAGCCCGCCCGGTGGGCGCAGCTGCTCCCCGGCGCGCCCCCGGGGGCTCGGCCGCTCCCCGGCGCCGCGCGCCGTCAGAGTCCGCCCGCGGCGCCCGCCGCACCCCGGCAGACGGAAGGTGGCGCTTTAACACAACAACCTTCCTGGGGCACGTGGGCTCTCTCCTCCTTTTCCCTTTCTCCTTTTCTCTAAAGCAGAGACATCCGTTTAAAGCCCGAGAGGCTGGATCCCCCCTCCTCCGTTTGCGTTTTCCGTTTTGTCCTTTTTCCCCGTCTGTTCTTCCTCCTCCGCGGTGTTTGGAGACGCCGCGGTGCGGGTTTGGCGGCGCCGGGCCCCCGCGCGCCCCGCTCCGGGCGGGGGCCGGAGTAACGGTCCGTGGGGCTCAGCAGGGGCCGGGTCCTCGCCTTCGATCCGGCCACTCCCCGGGCTGGTGCTAAACCGGGTCCGGGACCCTAGAGCTTCGGCACAGCCCCGCCCCTGCGTCGCTCGTCCCCCCTCCCCCCC